TGGGGGCTCTTACAGCTTTTATAACAATCCATACATCAATTGTATCAAGCACATCTGTACATATGTTGCCATCATCATTTCCAAGACAATATTCCTGTTTCACTCCTATCACCAAAGTCCTATTTCCCAGTCACTGATCCTTCTACCGCCAACCCCCCACCAACTTTTGAATTCCAATCACCAATGCATCTGTATTGCATGTCTGATTAATTTCAGACTGAAAAAGTTGGTAGAATTCTTTCATTTCTTCATCATTGGCTTTAATGGTTGGTCTTAGATTTGCATTAACAGTCATATTAATTGGTCTTCCTTGTTGCTGCTGTCAGGTGCCGTCAAATCAGTTCAGAATTATCACTACCTTCTGTACATCAGAAAAACACAGCCTGGCTCTGGGCCATCCTCATAATTGTTAGGTGTGAGCCCATTGCTGCAGCCACTGAGTCAATCCATCTCCCTGAAGGTTTTTATCCTTTGGGTTGACTGTGGTAAACTGAGGGCTGGACTGAGAACAAAAAGCAGCTCTGCTCATAATTAGGGGTCTGGAAAGCTGATTCTGATGCCAGAAGACCCTCATGGTTATGATATAGAAATAATCTTAGTACACATTCTTGTGACTGAACAACAGCTCCCCATAAAGGAATTGTCATAAAGGAGCTACTATAAAAGACATCTCATTCCTGCGTGGGGTTAGTCACTGTGTCAGAAGATTATCTGTAGACAAAAGCAATCAGGTTCTATAGCCCAACCCACCATAAAATGCAGCAAACTCTGTTCTGAAATCCTCTTCTGATATGGATCATAGATTGTTCCCTTGGGGAAGGGGGTGTTCAAGGTCTACTAGCACTAGGTCAATATGATGACTTACCTCATTGCTGGTTTATTATGTTACCCACTTATGATACTCCCATTGACTATATTATGTGTTCTTTGTATGAGATGTATGCCTTTTGAAAGCTAGCTCTGTGAGCCCCATTATACGTACCCATTGGAACAGACATTCACCCTCTTGGTCCTGGGGACAAGGAGCTCCTATGCCCTGCTGCCTGTCTACCTTTATTATTTCCCACAATCCCAAAGTCACTCCTAAGGACCTGTTCGAGTGTTGGGGACCCGTACCCTGACAGATTGACCTTCTACTTCTCCAAGAATGAGGTTCTTCTTCAAAGACCAGTCTCTCCTGCTAACATGGCCCAAACAGGTGAGCCGAAGTCTTCTTCTCTTCACTTCTAAGGAGCAGTCTGGCTGTTTTCATTCCAGACACCTTTGGTTGTTCCTCTGGCTGCACTTTCAATATTCTTCACCAACACCAAATTCAAAGCAGCTGATTTTACTGTAATCTGCCTTATTTACTGTCTAGCTTTCACGTGCATATAAGGTGATTGACAACACTATGACTTGGGTCAGGCACACCTTAGTCCTCAAAATGACTTCCCTGATCCTTAATACTTTAAAGAGCTCTTGTTAGCCGATTCATCCAATGCACTACATCATTTGATTTTTGACTGCTGCTTCCATAAACACTGATCATGGAGGGCAATGAGTGTACAAACGTGCTTTACACAATTGATGTATGTATGGATTGTGATAGAGTCGTACTAGCCCCTAATAAAATGATTTTTTTTTAAAATGAGAAACTGATACCAAGGGCCCAAGTAGAAAGAAAATGTTTTTAAAATGATGATGGCAACAAATGTACACATGTGCTTGACACAATGGACGGATGTATGGATTGTGATGAGCGTTGTATGAGCCCCCAATGAAATGATTTTTAAAAAAAAACACTGATCATGGATTCAAGCAAAATGAAATTCTTAGAACTTCAACCTCTTCTTCACCTATCCCAACGTTGTCTATTGTCCCAGTTGTGAGGTTTTTTATTCTTTTACATTGAGTTGCAATCCATACAGAAGATTGCCATCTTCAATTTTTTTTTTATGTGCCCTAGACCTGAAACAGCTCTGGCCACGATCTAGGCATCCAGCTAGGATGCACAAAGGACTGCCAGTCTGCTCTGCCCCTGACTGATGTAAGAGTGCCACCACCAGTCAGGTGTCTCTTTGCCCAGAGCCAGCGGTTGCAGTCTTCAATTTTCACCAAGTGTTTCAGTTCCTCCTTGCTTTCAGCAAGCAAAGTGGTGTCACCGGCACATTGTAGGTTGTTTGTAAACCCTCCTCCAATCCTGATGCTACTTTTTTCTTCATATCGTTCAGCTTCTCAGCATAGAGATTGAATAAATCTAGTGAAAGGACAGAACCCCGATGCACACATTTGCTGATTTTATACCATGCAGAATTCCCTTGTTCCACCTCCATGTACAGTTTGCATGAGCACAATGAAGGCTTCTGGACTTCCCATTCTGCTCCACGTGACCTGTAGTTTGTATGGTCCACACAGTCAAATACCTCTGCATAGTGATTAGAACACAAGTAAACATCTCCCTAGTATTCTCTACCTTCAGCCACCATCCTTCCGACATTACCCATGATATTCTTCATCTGATGGCCTCTTCTGAGAAATCCAGCCAGAATGTTGGCAGCTCCCCATTACTACAACCATTTAAAAATTCTCCTCAGCAAAATTTTCACGGCATGCTATATTAATATTGCTTGATAATCTCCTCATTCTGTTGGATGCATCTTTCCCAGATGCTTGGTCAGATATCTATCTTCCAAATTTCTTGGCATAGACTCGTGAGTGCTTCATCAGATTGTTGAAACATTGGTATTCCATCAATTCCTTTTTTTTCCTTTCATTAATGCCCTTGGTGCAGTTTGGAATTCTTTATTCAATATATTTGGTTCTTGATTATTCGCTGTCTCTTGAAATGGTTGAACATCAACCAAGTATTTTTGGTACAGTGACTGTGTATTCCTTCCATCACCTTTTAATTTCTCTTTCTTTCTTCATTCATGTATGTCGTCGTCCCACGGATTTTCAGGTCTTCGGTCATTAGTGTTCAATGCACCAACTCCGCTTGTTCACATGTTCTCTACCTTCAGGGGGCATATACTCAAGCTCATATTTTGGTTCTGATGGACTTCTTTTAACATGTGTCAACTTCCACTTGAATTTGCAGGTAAGTAATTGATGATCTGCTCTGCAGTCAGTAAGATCAGCTCTACTTTGAAGAGGCAGCTTTTGCCCAGTTGTATTTTCAGGGCCCTCCAACCTGAGAGACTCATTTTCTGGCACTACATTTGACAACATTTCAGTGCTATTCCTAAGTTTTTTGTGTCTAATTCTTCAAAAGTGGACAACCTAGAAGTGGAAAGATTATTCTTTCTTCCTAATGTGTACTTAATCTGGAAGTTCTGCTGAAAAGTGTTCACTTTTGGTGACCGTGGTGGTATTTGAAATGCCAGGGGCCTATCTTTCAGATCACAGCAATGTGCAAGCCTCCACAGTATGACAAGCTGATAGACGAATGATGGTCTTCCTTGTAAACATATGAATATTATTCTATCGCAAACCACACTGGATTTTGAGATCTCTCTCACTGCTATCAAGTCATTTCTAATTCATAGCATTTTTTAAATGTTCTTTTTTTTAACCCTTTTATTTATTTTTTCTTTTTAATCATTTTATTGGGGGCTCATACAACTCTTATCACAATCCATACATGCATCCATTGTGTCAAGCTCATTTGTGCACTTGTTGCCCTCATCATTCTCGAAACATTTTCTTTCTACTTTAGCCCTTGGCATCAGCTCCTCATTTTTCCCCCTCCCTCCCCACTCAAAAATGTTCTAACTAGTGATTATTCCAACACTATTCCTCTTGAATTTGTCATTACCAGACAAATGATATGATTTTCCAGTTGAAAATAGCCATATCACTCCCTTACAGGTCACTTACCCCTAGGATAGCCATCATTATGTGCTTCATTTCATTTTTGATGACTTCCAATTTTCCTAGATTTATGCTTTGCACATCTCATATTCTGATTATTAATTAATGTTTGCAACTGTTTCTTACTAATGTTGAGTCATTTCTCATCAGTAAATGAAGATCTCCAAACCTTTATTCCATTCACATCATTAAGGCCAACTTAACTTTGAGGCAAAGTTAACTTTGCCTGTTGAGTGCTTTCCAACCTGAGGAACAAGCCCCCAAAGGTTCTGTGGGTTAGGGGTCAAGTTGCTAACTGCAAGTTTGGTGGATCAACTCCTCTAGCTTCTCCATCTGAGAAAGATGATACTTTCTGGCTCCATAAATATTTATTGTCTTAGAAACCCTTCAAGGGTTGCTATAAGTGGTAGCAACACTAGGCCAGTGATTTGGGTTTGATTTCCCCATCCCGAGGAGCTCATCCTCCGGCACTATATTAGACAATGGTCCACTGGTATTCATAAAGTTTGCAGTAACTAATTCTTCAGAATTGATTCACCTGTTCCTTCTTCCTAGATATTTCAGTCTGAAACTTGTTCACCTTGGATGACCCTTCTGGTATTTGAAATACTAGTGGCATAGTTTCCAGTACCATGGCAACACCCGAGCCACCACAGCAAAACAAACTGACAGATCTGTAGTGACTTCACCCAGAATAATGGCTAAAATTTAAAAGAGTGACAATATCAAATGTTGGCAAGGAATATGGAGTAGCTGAAACTTTTACTTAGTGGTGAATGGGACAATCGTGTGGGAATCTGTGTGACAGTTTCAAAAAGCAAAAATAACCACCTACTCTGCAACCTACTCCTATGACCCAGAAAGTCTGCTCCCCGAGAATTGAAAGCATGTATCTGCACAACAGAGAACAGTACCATCAGCTAATAGCACCCCCACCGCACCGCCAGAGCGCCTCTGAATACAATCCAAATATTTACCAATAAGTGAATAGATCAATTGTTTTTTATTACACAGTGGAATTCTGTTTAATAATAATAATATAAAGAACTGCTGGCACATGAAAATTGTGGGTGGTTGTCAATAAGATTATGTTGAACAAAAGAAGCCAGGCTTTGAAAAGGAGATCAAATTATTCAATGATGACAGAAATGAGAACTGTGTATGACTCTGCGGAGTTAGTCTTGACTAACAGGAGGCATGAGAGCCCTCTTGGCTGATGGAAATAGTTGTGGGAGGAGAGAGTCCTTCATCAGCTCACAAGCTCTAAGTCTTCCAGTCCCTCCTCTGGTATTGCTAGGTTCCCGGACAAACACTGGCCTACCTTGAAGTCTTATGTTGTGTCCCGATAAGAAGCAGGGCTTACGGGATGGAATTTTGTCTGACTACACCTTCCTCAAGTGCTCCCTGCAGTGAAGTTTTATCCTCTGAAGTATGAACTGGCTATAGGAGGGCCTCTAAGGCGCATGCTCTTCCATGGGTGCAAAGTGAGGGCAAGCATGGAGCAGTCTCTACGCCACCAGAATCGTCTTTAGAGCCGGGGGGAACTGGCACTATGGAACTGCTCCTACTACTTGCTGTTTGCTGTGAGCAATTCAAACTTGGTGCCATGGAGCAGCGATCCTATTGGACAGAGTAGAGCTGCTGCATATGGTTTCCAAGACTTTAGGGGAGCAGACTGCCACGCATTTCTCAAACCCGAAACCTTTCAACAAGCAGCCAGTGCTAAGGGGCTAACCAAAATGTCAGTGGCTTAAACTTTTCCAGCAGCTCCACAGGAGAAACAATATGGCAACCTGCTCTCATTAGTCTTCAGCCTAGGACACCAAGGGACAGTTCTCTTACGACGATGTAAGTACTTCGATGGTTTCAGTTTGCCAGCTCTTGTGTGTGGCTCTATCACACTCCATGGCTGTAGCATCAATGAAAGGTTGATGCTATTCTATGATGCTCACCTTCCTGACACAACTGCTGAAGACAAAGCGGGTGAATAAGCAAATGTGGTGAAGAAAGCTGATGGTGCCCGGCTATCAAAAGATATAGTGTCTGGGGTCTTAAAAGCTTGAAGGTAAACAAGTGGCCATCTAGCTCAGAAGCAACAAAGTCCACATGGAACAACATATCAGCCTGTGTGATCATGAGGTGTTGAAGGGATCATTGAAGACAAATGGGTGCATAAGCAAATGTGGCAAAGAAAACTGATGGTGCCCAGCTATCAAAACGTATAGTGTCTGGGGTCTTAAAGGCTTGAAGGTAATCAAGTGGCCATCAAGCTCAGAAACAACAAAGCCCACATGGAAGAAGCACACCAGCTTATGCAATCACGAGGTGTCGAAGGGATTAGGTATAAGGCATCATCAGAACAAAAAATCTTACCATAGTGAATGATGGGGGGAGTGCGGAGTGGAGACCCAAAGCCCATTAGTAGGCCACTGGAGATCCCCTTGCAGAGGGGTCTCAGGGAGGAGACGAGCCAGTCAGGGGATGATGTAGCAATGATGAAAAATATAACTCTCCTCTGGTTCCTAAATGTTTCCTCCCCGCTCCCACTATCATGACACGAATTCTGCCTTGCAAGTCTGGCTAGACCAGAGGATGTACACTGGTACAGAGAGGAACTGGAAATACAGGGAATCCAGCATGGATGATTCCTACAGGACCAGTGGCGTGAGTGGTGATACTGGGAGGGTAGAGGGAGAGTGGATAGGAAAGAGGGAACTGATTACAAGGAACTATATGTGACCTCCTCCCTGGGGGACGGACAATAGAAAAGTGGGTGAAGCGAGACCTCGGACAGGGCAAGATATGACAAAATAACAATTTATAAATGATCAAGGGCTCATGAGGGAGGGGAAGCGGAGAGGGAGGGAAAAAAAATGAGGACCTAATGCCAGGGGCTTAAGTGGAGAGGAAATGTTTCGAGAATGATGAGAGCAATGAATGTACAAATGTGCTTTACACAATTAATGTATGTATGGATTGTGATAAGAGTTGTATGAGCCCCTAATAAAATGATTTTTTAAAAAAAGGTTGATGCTATTGGGTAGTGTCCTCATCCCAGGTATGCTTAGGAGACAACCTGCATGTGAAACACAATTCTTTATCTTGATTAGCATGTTGGTTACATGGGTATCATGTGCATTCATTTAAAAAAAAAAGGAACAAAACATTGAATAATACTGAAATGTTAGCATATTTCTCTGCATGCAAATTTTATATCAATAAAAAGA